CACGAGTTAAGCTCTTTGAGTCAAAGAGACAACGGTGACAATGAAATTGCAGCATCCTGAATCAACCGCGATGACATGTCCATGATGCTTTGTAACAGCCGAGACATGGTAAATGGGTAATCGGCAGTGGCAGGTGGGAGGAGACATAGACAGATCCATAGAAACAGAATCCATTCCTATGGACTAATCATCCTCATCAAGCTAATGTTACAAAACAAAAGGAAAATCAATGGCCATTAAGTGGCACTCAACTGGAACAGGAAGTCAAGAAGAGCGTCGGCTGAATTCAGCCGAGCTGAGCTGTTTCAGTCGGCGCGGTAACCGAATTCAGCAATTTTTATAGCTGATCACATCGGATGAGCGCTCTGATCGATCGGGTTTGGACCAAGCCCTTTCCCCTCCACTCACATGCATTCGATTGAGGTCACATTGAAGCAGGTGCTTCTTACTACAGCAACTCTGCATAGCTTAGTGTTTCTCTGTTCGAACGCACGTGAGTCAACTCCCCAGCTCATTACCAAAGCCTTCATGGATTGAATTAGGTGTGCTGAAGCAAGGAAAGCATTAGACCTTCATGAACTAAGTCTGTCAACGTTGGAAATCAGCAATTGATCTACCTTCTTTAGGAATTCTTTTCAAATGAAGTATTAAAACAACATGAAAGTGTCTTCCTTGGCACGATGAGCAGGTTTATAATGATATGACAGTTTTCTTTTCCAAACTATTGTTAAAAGAACAGTTACTACTATCACTACTTAATATTGTTGAAAGCCAAAAGATGGTTGAACTCTATGATGTTGACCATGTTGCCAGATACATGAAAACTATGTCTCACATATAGTTTAATAACTTTGGAACCATTTGCTATACACACCTACTTTCAATCACATTTGGACATGAAGACTCAAGGCCTCCCAGAAAACACAAGTCACAATTCCAAAGCTACTAATAGCTTTTACAGTTTAGTCATAAAATACCATTACCTTTTGGTAATTTTGTGGGGGTTGTATACAGTCATTTTGTACCATTATCCTTCATGTTTCACAATGTTGCCTCAAGTTAACAAACCCATTTTCTTCACTTTACAAGAACATGAAACATAATTGATGATAATGAAAGGGGTTGATAATGAAATGATTAGTTTAAATAAACCAATAAAAATGTAGCTTGTCACATAATTTACTGCTGGGCTTTTTTAAGCCTCTTTCTGGGATGGTGCAGCTTGTAGATTACATTTCTGCACCAGACAGTTTCACTCATTTTCAGCATTTCATCATCAGGTTTTCATCATTTTTTCATCAATCTAAAAACATTATTTGCCATTGGAGAGTTCTTTTTTTAGGTTTAATATGATGTAAATAATTTTATATTGTGAGATTTTATTTAATTTCCAAATGTTACGAGAAATTGATGTTTGTTGCCTAGAAGCAACATTGCATGACAATGGATTTTGTCCAGAAAATAAAAGCCATTTCTGATTACATAAAAATAACTTAATTCTGTTTATGTTTTTGCTAGGATTTAACTGTTAATTGTACGGTATCAGTCCTAAAAACACTGTAAGAAAACAAGTAAGCCTTCCAAGGGTTCTTCTAAATTGGAAAATGGTCACATAAAAAATGAGTTATGATTGTTTTGGCTCACAAAAATGTCAACTGGATCTCAAGGGAAAAATAAAGTGTGAGAAAAATGTAGGATTTGGCCCCTTGCAGCTCATATGGAACAGTTTTGTTTGGACCCTATGGAGCTTCTATTACAAACTGCAAAGTGCAAAACGGATTAAATGTATGAAATCATAACTCTTATGTTAATTTATTGAATGTGAGTTATCCATGTGCATCATATATACAAAAGGTTTTAGCCCCTTTTGTGCATTTGGGTATTGGAACCTCATACTTTCTTAAAATAAACAAATATTACTGCAAGCATTTTAATTCACATCAATATTTTCAAATGAAATTTTCATTGTACGGTAGGGTCCAATCTTTCCAACTAACACAGGCAAAGCCTAGTACAAGTTGAAATGCTGACACGGTATGGCCGACTTGCCATAAAGTAAATGTGGCAGTAGATTAAATTTCTTATTGGGTAGCAGAGGCAGTTTTTTCCTCTGGAGTGATGCTGAATTAATCTGGATAAAGAATGGAGAGTGAAGCAATCTGGTAGAGTGCAGCCGAATGACGCAAAGTCACCGTGCACTATTCTGATCCAATATTCATGGCTGAATGCAATAGGGAGATCCTTTTAACCTGCAACAGGGGAGCAATAGCATCCTAAAGTAAAGGTCTCCTGGTTGAAAAGGTCTGCAATAACCCAGGTTTATATGAATTGAGAGGTAGTGTGTACTTACATTTTCACAGTTCCATACACTTAACCCTGTTAATGTCCTGGGCCTGACAGTGGGCCTAAAGTTTGCTACTCAATTTTCTAATCTAAGAATAGCTCAACAAGTTTGCATTGAAGCCCCTGTAGTTACTGAATAATCAATTTTAGTATGAAATAAGTGATTTTAAGGGGTTAAATACAAGTTTGAATGATTTGTATTTCCATAAATTACATAGTACTTCAGGACCTGATATTTCTTTACTTAGGTTGATTGATTGGTTGATACTTGATGATATTTTACTGATAGTTTCAGCTGCTCTGTTTATTTGTATGGGTTTTTTGTGCATATATGTCTGAGTAGATGATTTAAGTTAGATGGTTCCATCTCCTGTGATTGTAGCCTCTTGCTCTCGTTCATGCAGCTTGTGGATTCTTGTTATAGTGGAGGGTCTCAAAGGGAACTGGAGCTCCACTTTGCTGTTGCGTTTGTTAGTTTGCTGGAGGTTAATTTATCCAAAGGTCTCCTGTGGGCACTGTTCAGCATGGTCTGCTGAAAGTGCTAAAAGTATCGCTTTAAAAGTCATTTAAAAGCTTTATTTGAATGAGAGGGCAACAATTACAGATCCTTTCATAGCAAAATACAGTGCATGAGCATCTGGACTTCAGCCTGGAACTACTACAGATGGTACAAACTAGGAAAATGTGTTAATGGTATTTAATAATAAAAAAAAAAAATAGTGGCATTAATATTTGATTGTACTAACATATCATTATTAATACATCAATTTCACAGCCCTAATTTAAATATTACCTTGTCTCTCCATTTTTATCCTTTTTTATGTCATTTGAAAATGCCAGCTTCTTTTTACATTGTAAGTAAATTTCATTATAAAGGGGCCAATAGAAATGGCCCAAAAATACTTGAATTAACATGTTTTTACATTGACATACATTTAAAAAGAAATGTTTTGGCTTCTCTTTTAAAGTTACCATTTTGGAGATATGAGGTTTTGCCTCAACAGCGATGATATACGTCATACTGATTGGCAGTGCTGATAAATGCAAATATCTGGTGAGTGATGTATGATAAGAATAAGTTCAGTTTTTCCACCATACATTATTAAAAGTATGGTTTCCAATAGAGGAAACAGATCTCTAAAAATCTCCCCTAAATTTCTGTTCTTCAAAAAGGTTCACTCTTAATCTACAACATCTTTTTTTAAAACTTGCTTGCAGCATAGACTCAACTAGGAGAATGAATCTGCAGACAAGCCAATAAAACCTGAATTAGTCTGCCACATTTCTTTTCTTCAGTAGAACATTAAAAGAGACAAGTGATCATCATGTGAGTTTGCTATTTTCGAAAAGGTTTATGATTTTTGTAGCCTTAACCAAACGCTTCCTTATCCTGTGCTGAAGCTGCAAAGGAGTGGTCAGTTTCTCAATACTAAAGATATCAATGACCTTGGGCTATGCACAGTTGTAAATGTTAGGAAGCAACGATAAAGTCTGGAACTTGTCATTTAATGTATAATAGGTAATTCTAACATAGGGTGTGGGATACCACTAACCAATCCTGGAAAGGCAGATGGAGGCTGTCAGAAAACATGCCGGATCGACCTCATAGATGAATTTCAGTTTGGTTTGAGCCAGAGCTTGTTATTTAAGTCAATAGAATGGGATTTCAGTAAAGTCCTTTTAAATTAGGCGATTATACTTGCAAGGTTTATGCCTCACATCCTGAAAGGAAAAGTAAAAAGAAGTGCATCAGCCTACACTGAGACTGCAGACAACATGATGAGAAAATGCAGCTCTTTTTCCTTTATTGAATGACAGGCTGCAATTAGGGTGCGTGATTAGACCAAATCGGACATGCACCTACTCTTTAGAATTGATTGATGACTGTAATTCACTCATTTTATACATTTGTAGGGGACCTCAGCACTTCAAATGAAGAATAGAAAGAGATATAATGCGATGTAAAACACATACAGTTCAGACTCCCTTGCGTGCGGTGATCACACTGTAGCACCATCACATTTGACTGGATCTTTCAATTATACAAGAACGGATGATGCCCAAGACTTATAATGCATTCAGGAATTCATAGTGGTCCACATAAAAGCTTTTACATAAAGCATACTGATTCGTTCAACACATTTTGCAAAGTTCCCTCAGTGGAGAAGAAATGGCACACCATTAAACCAGCTTTACGTGTGCAGTTGCACGCATCGTTTTCAGTGTACTTCAGGCTAAGGGAGTGGCCCATGTGGTGTGAGGGATCTACAAGCCCCTCCCCTACACAATCACAGTCCAATCCATGACCAATCTTTGACCATCATGCTGCCTTTGCAAACCATATATATGTATATGCCATATTTCAAGGGATGTGAGCAATTTTTTCAAGATAGCATCCTCTATGATCATGTTTCGAAGTTGTACATTAAAGTAAAAAGAATAAACATCTGTACAATGTTGCAACATAAATATGCTTTTAAGCTAAAAAGAAAAAATGAGTATCAGCCCTGACATTCAGGTGAGAATAACGGTGACCATAATATGCTGCCAACATGTGGCACTCGCAATCCAAACCTGTCGAGCCACATGGCAGCCCAAGCCACATGGAACTGCACCACTAGGCCCAGAGAAGCAGACAACAAAATGGGTGGACTTACGTGTCTTGCGGCTGATGTGGGTCCTAGCTGGGGTAGTAATGGGCCTCTCGGTGGAGGGCTGCTCACGGGTCCACATTTGGGTGGAGTCATTGAGAACGGTCGGATTGGATGGAGATGGGCTGGAGGTGGACGTCCGTCCACTGGAGGAGGTGGTGAAGGCTGTGGTGGTGGGGACCACGTGTCCCAGAGCGCTGAGTGGTGCTCTTCTGAGTCACCTGACTGCCAGATGCCCCGCCACCCCTATGGGATGGGTTGGGAGGAGTCCCAGATCGAGTTTTTCCCCTCACCGAAGTAGTGATACCAGGGCTGCTGGAACCAACTGGCCCACTAGTTGTGGTAGTTGTGGTGGTTGTCTCTGATCCTTTGGGGAAAGCACTGGGCTTGGACAAGAAGATGGGGTCCTGTCCAATGCCCTTGGCATCCACCAGGTCTGTGGGCACATAGTCCCTCACAGAGCCTACCACGATCCACTTGAGCAGCATGAGGCTCAGGCCCAGGCCAATGAAGCCAATGAGAAGGGGCACTGCACACAACCAGGTCTGCTGCCGGGGCCACAAGGCACAACGCAACGTCCCGGCACGTTCAGGGGCCTGGGCCTGTTGCCGGCTGCCCGAGGCCCCGGTGCTCTCGGGCTCCTCCAGGATCACCCCTACCACCCCCGAGCCGGTGGTCACCGCTCCAGAACTCTCACTCATGACCCTCTGAGGGTCAACCCCTGGGCTGGGAGATCAGCAGGCACGGGAAGCTCCAGGCGCCAAACATTGGGGCGGGACAAAAAAAAAAGAAAGCAATCCCACGATGGCCAAAAACACACTCACACGCAAGAAACTCGCAAACACTCCTTAACCCCTTAAACTGTGGACTTATTGTTTTAATTAAATATTAACCATAACCAAAATAATTCTGAACTACATTGAAACTATGCAAGATACCTAGATATGAAAGTGAAGAACTGAAATCTGGACCCACTGATGGATCCTTAGAGTTTAAGGGGTTAAAGCACAGGTGCAGGATGCCACAAACACACACACACAGGCACACAAGTACACACACCCAGTAGAATTCCGGAGGTAGGAAGAAAAATCAGGGCTTGCAGAATCCGACACGGGACGATCCTCTAGTCCAGTTCCAGAAGGCGCAAACAGGCGGGTTCCAGGTCCAAGGGTGAACCGGACGAGGGGCAGGGGCTGACCAGAGGAAGGAATGCAGAAAGCAAAGCAGATGTATGTGCACGGAAGCTCTCGGCAGCTCCCGATGCAGCAGCAACACCCCTCTATTAGTGCCCCTCAGATCCCTGTTTCGGAACAGATGGCACCACCAGTGAAAAAACCATCACTCCAATTTCACGCCCTTTTAGAGCTTTCTTAGTTTTTTCTTTAGAAGCAGGAGCTTGTCAGAATCCTCCTTTTCAAACGTCTCACTTGCCGTTTGCCTTCCGTCTCGTTCAGCGTCTCGTTCCGTGGCTCTCGTTAGCCCTCGCTGACTCAGCTCTGCATGTCCCGGAGAGCTGCGATGCCTAGCGTCCCCCTGCCGGGGCAGGACCTCCTACAGATAAGCGCATTATCCATGCGGGGTGGGGTGGTGGTGGCGGTGGTGGTGATAGAGAGGGGGGCCAAAAAGATAAGCAAGCTGTTTCTGTGGAATCAAAAGCCAAATATCCAGGAGCAGAGGCAACAATGGTAGCTACGGCAAGGTTAGAAAAGGCGGGGGAGGTATTGTGTCCAGAATCCACTGGGATGGGGGGATAAAATCCATTCTCCCACTCAAACAGGCTTCCAGTGCTCCTTTCCCGCCAGCCGTCGATGCAGCACGGAGTGAAGAGCGTGCCGCTACATTCCGCCACTGAGAGAGCGAGAGAGGTAGAGAGAGCGAGATAGGGAGAGAGGGAGGAAGGCAGGGAGAGGGGGAGGGACAGCACCGGAGACAGAAGGCAGAAAAAAGAGAGAGAAAAGAGAGAGAGAGAGAGAGAGAGAGTGTGAGAGAGAAAGAGAGAGGAAAATGACAAAATTCCCAAGCTCAGGTCTCAGCTCCACGTTCCGACTCTCTCCAATGAGGCTGCTGTCTGGTCCTGATTTCGAGGATCCTTAATATATGTCTGTTTGTCGCTGTCTGTCCCGGGACTGGCCGCACTGTCCTGTGGGGCTGCGCTGATGCTTCAGCAGCCGAGCACAGGATGCTTCAGCCTGGCAAGCGCAGACGCTGCTGATGCTGCTGTTGCTACTGCCGCTGATGCCAGGAGAGGGAGAGAGAGAGAAACGGCGGAGGATTAGAGAGGGAGGGAGGGAGAGAGAGCAGGAGAGAGAGAGAGAGAGAGAGAGAGAGAGAGAGAGAGAGAGAGAGAGAGAGAGAGAGGCAGAGAGAGAGAGGGGGGCAGTGGAGTATCAGAGCAAGAGAGAGGGAGAGTGGTTGATCAGAGGGAGATAGAAGAGAGCGAGAGAGGGGGAAAAGAGCGAGAGAGAGAGAGAGAGAGAGAGAGGCAGGACTTCACCTGCTCTGTACCTGCTTAGGGAATATTCTCCAGCCCTTCAGGACACAGAGAGAGAGAGCGAGAGAGAGAGAGAGAGATTGATCGTGAATGCACAGAGGCAAACATTGAGGAGGAAAGATAAGGACTGTTGTTAGAACTCATTCACAGAAGGCGCTCAGAAAGAGAAAGAGAAGGTGAAAGAGCCAAAGAAAGAGAGAGAGAGAGATTCAGAAAGCCAGAAAGCGAGGGAGACTGACTGACTGATCCGTGCCAGTGTTCTGCAGCATTAACAGACAGAGAGATTACCGAGTGCTGTAAACAGCCTGATTCTCAGTCTCTCTCTTGTCTGGGCTGTCAGTCACTGCCTCAGCCCCGCCTCCTGCTCTGTCACAGGAAGAATGGAGGGATGATAGCAGTACTATAAAGGGAAGAAATAAGAAAAGAGGATAAGCATTGTAGGTAGGGAATGAACAGAATGGCACATTGCGATTTTTTAGCAACGATATTGTGACCAGAGTACGATATCTTACAGAAGGCTACCGATTGGCTGGCAATATTTTCGCCAAAATGATTGTCCACTGTTGGATGTATAAATCTAATGACTTATCAAATCACTTGCAGAAAGTCCTCTATAATCCTCACAATTAATATTTGTGATTTATTAATGCTTATAAGTTGGCAGTTATCAGTGGTGATAATGAAGGTGTAGTGTAATTTGATTTTAATTACTTTTCACTCATTGCACATTGAAGCCAACAGAGAAATTCTGTGGAAAGAGCAGATTCTGAGCTGTCAACCAATAACACATTTGTGCTAAGCCTTATTTGGGTGGGATTAGTTTTCTATGAGGAGGTGGGATAATGACAGGTTCCTCTTTGAACATTTATGAGCGATTTGTATGGGATAAGAAATCCTGGTCTAAATGACAGAGATGGGAGTGGCTACTCGATTTCACTACAGAATGTAACGAGTAAAATAAAAGTTAAAACGTTTCATTTAGCCATTATTTCGTTTACCCTAGCCCAGGGGTCGGCAACTCAAATGTTAAAAGAGCCAATTTATCCTTTCAACAAAAATCAAACCACCCTAGGAGCCACAACATTTAATTTCCATTATTAGCATCTTGGCTGTAAATTTGTCCCAGTTTGTGCTAATGTCATAGTATAGGCTAAAAAACAAATAAAACATAGACATTACTTTGCTCTGCTTCAAGCTTTAGCTCAGCTTTAGCCACTTTTCTCACATCTCTGGCAGGAGACAAAAGTAGAATAGTGTCTTAACATTAACATTAGACTTTTTAAGAGGCTGAAGTCAGCTTCTCGTTCGCCAGCTTCATGTTTGAATTTTCCTGTTCCAATTAGAACAAGAAGCTGGGAATGAGAAGCGACTTCAGCTTCTAGACTTTTTAGTGTTTGACAGTTTTTTTTTTTGCAGATTAAACGTATCAGGAAACCAGCTGGAGTGATTATAAATACAAATAAGTCAATTTGTCTCCAGATTATCAATATTCATCTTAAATCTTTCTCTTTGGCTTTTGTTAGCTGCTTGCTAGGTCAAATTGGTTTATGCGTTTTCAGGGTTAAAGGTTGATGAATTAGAATTTGTAGGCTACATAACTCCAGCGTTTAAGACCATCATTTGTTACAACTGTGTTAGAACAATCAGAAGAGCTTCATTTAAATGCGAAAGAGGATTATTTTATTTTTACCTAAAATTGTAATTCTGCTGTGTAGCCACAACAGGGCAGTAAAAGAGCCACATGAGGCTCCAGAGCTGCATATTGCCCCCTGCCCTAGCCATTTGTCTCGCTGTCTTAAGCGAATGCAGTGCATCTTTAGCATCACCATTGGCTTGCACATTCACAGCCAACAGTCAACTTTACCACATAAAATCACACTTTTTTCTATAATTTTTACATATTCTGAGTTGTACACGTGACACACACATTGGCCTGGGAGGCTGAGCTTCCTATTCGCCAGCTTCTTGTTCATTTTTTCCCCTTCCACCTTAAATAGTCCAGCAATTACATTCTGGTGCCTCAGCCATTATAATAATAACAGCTGCACCATTTAAGGCGGAACAGAAAGTTTTGAATAAGAAGCTAGCGAATAAGAAGCTTGTTTCAGCTTCATCAGAAAACACAACTAAACGTTTCTTCGAGTGCATCCATGCTGAAGAAACTCAGTTTTCACAGAGTATGATAGCATTTTTACCAACGTGTCTATTTCACACGGGACTAATAAAACTTGAGGTAATGTTTACAGCTTGTTTTACAGAAAGTGAAAGGCACTGAAATCTTCACTGACAAAGGAGGATGCAGTCAGTAAAAATGTCGTTAACACTTTATTTAGATGGTCCACTGTAGATGTTCAGTTTATTTTTAACTAACTTTCAACTAAATATGTATGAAATGCAACTGACCTTAAAATTGCATGTGAAAGATTTTAGTTTGTCCCTAATCCTAAACTTAATCTTTAACCCAAACCCAAATCCTACACCCACTCCTAAACATAATCTTTCCTTAATGTTGTTGATAATCAACTAAGTATCACCAGAAAGTTTGTTAATAATGTAAGTATCTGTAGATCATCTATAGGGGGCCATCCAAATAAAGTATGACCAAAATGTATGACATGGCGCATTCGGACAGGATTAGAATCATAGAGAAACACTGGTAATAATTACATTACCCCAGCTCCTCATGTAAAACTAAACCTATGCAAATAATGCTTTAATAAGTAAAAGAAGAGATATTTTATTGTGATTTGAACTTGATAAAAAGTCACTCTTTTGAATGCATCCTTGCATTGTTTTTGTCATTTGTTTTCATTTTTGTCATTCATTGACATCAAATCAAATGGCAAAAACGACAACACACTCTAACCTGTAAATACAGAATGTTTGAGCAATAACTATGTAATTACTCATTTATTAAATGCAATTAATATGTAATTATAAATCTAAGGTATATAAGGATTATATTACATCTTTTTCTTGTGATAATGTTCAATGAAAATATACTGTGAAGCATTAATTATAGGAATTTCAGTGAAATAAATTATAGAAATATAATTTGTAGAGTTGTTTTGTTGTCTCATTTATTCATTTGTTCAATCATTTACTAAATTATTCATGTTTGGCAATCTGTGTATTACTACAGTTGATAGATCCTGCCCCAGTAACCAGATTTCTAAGGCAAGGCACCATCAAAGAGTCCAAACAACAGCATAACCAGCACAAAAAGAAACATAGAACTAGTTGAACTGGTCTGACCAACAGCAGTTGGAAAA